ATCTCATGGTCACCGATGAACCCGCCAAAATATTTCTACGCAATGTTCTAAACAAATCGAAGGGCCAACTAGGGGATCTCAGACGAGAAGTGGATAAAAAGAGGAGAGAAATTGATGGCGTAAAGCGCATCAAGCAAAGGATACGGGAGGGGACAGAAAACAAGGACGAGGTGCTTGTCGTATCACAAATCTTTTCCATGCAAGAGGACTTGCATCAAGTGGATCGAAAAAGGCTCACAGCCGAAGTTGAGACCTCAACCATCACATCGGCAGTTGGCGACGTCACTCTAGGCGCCAAAAACCACAATTTCAAATCGCAAACGTTTAAAATACCAACTAATTGTGATTTGTGTGGTGAGCGGATATGGGGTCTATCCGCAAAGGGCTTTGATTGTAGAGATTGCGGCTATACATGTCACAACAAATGTGAAATGAAAGTACCTGCAGAGTGCCCTGGAGAGCTATCCAAAGAAGAGCGCAAGAAGTACAAGTCGGAACGACAGTCGGCGGCGGGAGCCCTACTTAAACCTCCTACCAACCCGCCAGAACATATTGCCGAACTTCCAGATTTGACGCGATCTAATACCATGAACTCTTTAAGCTCCGGATACGCAGCCAGTGCAAATCGATCAATAAGTGGCTCAACTGTAAGTCCGCGTGCTACCGCCCCCGCTGAAGAAGCGCAAGCGCCACCTGAGCCTTCAGGTCCCCGGCCCCCGGTGAAGAAAAGTCGCCTCGTCGCTCCGCCACCTGCTGCCTATATTAGCGAGCTACCTGGTAGCTCCGTCAGTAGCGCAGTTGCGAAGAAGGCTCCAGAACAAAAAGGAAAGATGCTTTATAGTTTCGAGGCGAATGGGGACGGCGAGGTCTCCGTTCCTGAGAGCCGGGAGGTCGTAGTTCTTGAACCTGATGGTGAGTCTCACGCTTGAGTTTTATCTAAACTTTTACTGACATTGTCGCAGACGGATCAGGATGGGTAAAGGTTCGTGCTGGCTATAAGGAAGGGTTAGTCCCTGCCACCTACTTAGAGATCTACCCCCAACCAATTGTGCCCCAAGACACGGGCTCCTCTTCAATAAATAATAGGCCTTCATCGGTCTATTCAAACTCGGGATCATCCATAAACACCACAGGTCCAGCAGTCAAGAAGAAAGGTCCGGCGGTCGCGCCACGTCGCGGTGCTAAGAAGTTGAAATACGTTGTCGCGTTGTACGACTACACAGCACAAAGCGACGCCGAGCATAGTATGACGGAGGGCGAAAGATTCGTGCTGATCAAAGATGACCCTGGAGACGGTTGGGCTGAAGTAGAAAAGGGGGGCGCAACCAAGAGCGTACCGGCAAGTTACGTACAAGTAGCAACAGACTAGTAAAGGCTGCTTTATACGAAACCCTCGCGACTGTTATACTTTATGGCTGGTAGAAACCAACTGAAGGGCTGTAAAGTTTTAAATGCCGATTAGCATTGGATAGATGTGGAGATGTACTTATATATGTTGGAAGCAAAGTCGATATCCTGACGAGAACAGAGCATATCCAATACGGCTTATGCTTGCCGTTTCTACTGTATCTAATTTCCGTATCAGGGTAATTAGACAGATTACCCTATGAAAGTCACGGTTAGCTTTCGAGAATGGCTTGGATAGAAAACAAACAGAGTAAACAAAGCAATATCAACAAAGCTAGTAGTCCGACTAAAATTGTGAAGCAGCGACGTTGTAAGACTTCGGTATTTTAACCTTAACCATATATGACTTAAACTTCTAATGGTCATTGAGCTTCTGGAATAGGGCTGGATTAACAACTGATGTGAGGTGGCTCAACGACCAATTTGTCAGTGCTCAGGTATCCATCGTTTAGCCATCGAGTGAGGAATAGTTTGTTTCACGCTGGTCATATTATAGAGTTGAGGCGGACAATATAAACATCATAGCGTGATCGTTAAATAGTTTCATATGTGTTGGTTACTTGAGAAACGTTCACGTACCCAAGGACCAAAACATGTGTCATAGCTTTATATTTACATAAATATGCCGTGGCATACATATAAAGAAGACCTTCGACCTAGGAATTCTCATCGAAAGTTCAGTCTCCAACATCTTCTCAACCTCAGGATCAACTACAGACTCATAACCATATCAAATCACTTACATCTTTCTATTACTAGAGGTTGTTCACTGTAACCTAACACCTTCACAATCTTTAGGACTACCTAGTAACCGATTCGCCATCACGCCAACTTACCTACGTCCTTCCATCACCAGAGGTTGTTTACAGCAATACGACATCTTCTCAACCTTAGGGTTAATTACAAGTTTATCGTCAAATCACTTGTATTTTTCCAGTACTAGAAGTTGTTCGCTAAGATAGAATATCTTCTCAGTCTTAGGATCACCTACCTACTTACCAACTCACCATCGTATCAAATCACTTACACCTTCCATCACCAGAGGTTATTCTCGACTTGTTCTATATTCTTAGTCAAGCCGCAATGGAAGACTCTACTAAATCTTCTACTAAACCTCTACAAACATTCACTTGCTTCAAAAATCTACCTCCCGAGCTCCGACTGATGATCTGGGAAAAATGTCTCCCGCACCGAAGTGTCCAAATGCACGACTCAGCGCATAGAGACATTGAAAGGGAGCTAGAACACACGGAGCCTCCTGCAGGACCCCTCCCGCCATTAATCGGGCGCGTCTGCCGAGAATCCCGCGACGTTGCTCTGAAGCATGGTGGTGTAGAAGAGACGGCGTTCTGGGATACGTCCGTGTGGTTCAATCGAAGAACCGACAACATCTTTATCGGAACGGATGACTATGACCAATGGTTGCCGAGCCGTAGCGGAGAATCCACCAACAAGGGAATGGAGCGGCTTGTGTACGACCGGAACATTCCGCTCAGCATAGACAGGGGCGTCGTGCTCAGCCATTCGGGGTTCCCTACCGGCTACGAATTCGCTATCTGGACCCTCGAGCGTGCCGCCGAGCGGACGGAGTGCAACGTGGTCCTATATCATGCCACAATGCACGCCACGCACGAGCAGGCCATCGCGTCCGGTCTCTTCGGGCATTTCGCTGAAGAGACCACTATCTACATCAATATCGAAGACACCAAGAAGATTCAAACCCTAGTCGCCGCCTGCGACATGCTGTTGGAACAATCGTCACCGACGCGCGACAAAACCATCAACAACGAGCTGCCGTGGGAACCACCGCCGTTTCGGTTGCCGCCGCCACTGGTGCCGCTGCCGCTGCCGAACGACGGACTGTTTGGGCTCAAAGACTACTTAACCAAGAACAACGACCCCTTCGATTCTAGCATCCTCTCCTTCCAAGAACGCGTGCGGACCCTCTGGCTCAAGATGAACGGCACGATGGACGCCAATCTCAGCCCGTCGTTCTTGTTCTTCTTCCAAAAAATGGAAGAGCAGGAGCCGCACCGGAGCATCTTGGCGCGGCTTCCGAAGTTCAACTATGTGGTCGCGGTTCACCTCAAAAAGGCGAAACCGAAGACCCAAAGGAACGTAATCGCCCCTTTCGTCGGGCCGGTGGCTACAAGCAGCGACTCCAGCAAGTCAGGTCAAATCGAATAACAGCCTATGTTCAACTTTATATAAGCCGAGCCAAGTCGAGATTCTAGAGAATCGAGGCTCATTTGGCCGTATCGTCGATTAGGCTCGATGGCTACAACGCTTAGCCACTTTACCAACACAACTCTCGAAATTGTTAACACTTATTACATCTATTCAAATATCCACCAATTAGGTAAGTGAAAGTCTTTATTCGACTCCGGAAAATATGCTAAGAAACACCTAGGATTGATTCAAGCTAAATCAGGCCAAGCTCAACCCAAACCGAGCTCTTATTTGGCTTGTTGGACTCGCTGGACACGAGTAGGAAAAGAAGCGAAACGAAACGAAACAAAACTAAATGAAAGGAAGGGAAGAAGGAAAGAGAGAATAGAGCGACATGAATGTACCAGCGTTTTTTATTTCATTCATGGTGGAGAAATTTTGGACGGACATCAGCGTGTTTTGGACGGATACCTATCAGCGTGGTTTTGAGGGATATCAACATGTTTTGGACGAATATTAGCGTGTTATTGACGGATATAAAGGTGCTTCTGGAAGAATATCAGCGTTAAAAGGTCGGCTATCAGCTTTTTTAGGTTTGCATATCAATGCATTTGGCGGAGTTATTACGGAAAGCTAGACGGAATCTCTAGCAAGGGACATTTCAGGTTATCATTATACAAGTTCTCGGGCAACGGAAGCATAGCGGCATCATGTGGGACAGGGCGTTTGGTTTCGCGGAGATTCATATGTCCTATATCATTACGGACAAGCGTTGCTTTTGGGAGAAAATACAATACAAGATTCATTCCTCCTTAACCTTCTTTACTTTTAAACTTCGCCCGAGACGGTCCTGATGAACTCAATTAAGCTGTCTCGTGTGATAATGAAAACAGTATATTTGCAATACTTCAGATGCTAACTCTGATATTGAGTGTAAGAGGCCGAGCTCTGGAAACGACAAAGCGTTGCGAATCTTGTATGTGTCGGTTTAAGATATTGAGGCTTATTAGACGATATTCCAGTGTAGGATCAGCTAACTTTCCCCTCAGTAAAGATGGAATAGGGTGAGTAAGTTAATGGAAGACTTCTGATTGAAATATCGTATATCATAAAGTTACTGTGTGAAACATGCATTGTAGATAAAACAATGCCATGAAACTCATAAAGCTATCGCTCATATATGACATGCCAGATAAAATACTGGCTTTGGACTTGGACGTTGTGATATCAGACCCACAACTTAAAGGATCTAAAGTTTAGGGGGATGGGATCTAAAAATACCCGGATATTCCTCGGAGACCCCACACCAAATCTTTTAGCCTTTATATACTAAAATTACAATTCCGTTTATCACAAGCAAGACCCGGGATTCATCCCACATCTTGCCGCTCGAGTGAACCAATCATCCGAGTTTCCTAAGTCCATCCTCCGTGGCGCAATTGGCTAGCGCGTCTGACTGTTAGTAATAACTGATATCAGGAGGTTGAAAGTTCGAGCCTTTCCGGGGGAGTTGGGTTTCATTTTTTGCGTTCTTCCTCGCCGTCGGTTTTTTTTTTTTTTTTTTTTTTTTTTTTTTCTTCTTAGGCATCGGCGTTAAGTCTACAGAGGCGTGTCACAATTATCATTAACTGGTTATATCGCAAATAGACGATGGCGCAAATACAAGACTTGGTGACAAACTGTCATTGCGATGCTAAAGTAAATAGTTATAAACCTAACCCTACATGCTGTATTCTACCAATCACCATCTCGTCCCATGATTTCCCGTCGCATAACCCGACTGCTGACTGTTTAATACCGGTGTCATTATCTTTCCAAACTTGAATGTACTTTCCGCTTATAGCTTGATGGAAATTCCAGTTCGGATTATGCGGTGACAGATGGAGTGGAAGTAATATATGTCTTGATGTGCCAGTATATCTCCTCCTGTTGTCTGAGCCGTGGAGTCTACTTCCGCGCGAGTTTCGGCGCTAGCGCTATGATCTGAGCCTCTTGTTGCTAGGTACTATCGCATTGGCCATATGAATATTTGAAAGTATTAAAACTACTGAAAGTCGCCTACAGGAGTGAGCTTCGTCGGAGTCTTAAGTAGGTAACCATCTAAGTACGACTGTAAGAGTTTATGAGGCTTAGCTTAGTGTATTGATAAGGTCCGGGGAAGTTATCCTTACTGCGATCTCATATCCATGCCCATAGTTGCCAAATTACTGGTTGAGATAGCTCACTACGTTCGTCGCCTTGATGTCTCTATTTGTTCGAAATTCAAACCACGCTTGCGTGTTCATGATGGAGGTAACTTTTCAAGCTGGTAGGTAGATGTGTTATAGGTTTTGAAATCTGTTGTAGGTATTCAACTTTGTTGTAGATATTCAGAAGTGGCGCCAATCCTGAGATTTATACACTGTATTTACCGCCGAGACTCTGCACAGCTTGGCTGTTACCTACATCTTTCGATTGTCTGGCCAATGAGGCTTATACAAAACGTGCAATGCGTCTTTACCGCCGACATCAGCTCATACCAAGTGCAAAAACGCGTATAACCGCATCCTTAAGTCTACCAATATACCATTAGGGAATGGCTCCCAGCTCCCGATCCATTTATAGCGCCCAATCATCTCAACTCATTTGACTATTGATTCAGGGTTCGTACCTAAGGATAGTATTGTAAAGTTGTTCGAACTTAGAATCGAATCTGATAGGTTGACTTAAGTCGCAATGAAGACTGCAGGTGGTGTCCTAACACTCAGGGGTAGGCTAGAGATGCTGAGGTAATTGACTTGCCTTAGATAGCCATAAAAGCTAGTAAAATTAGATATATGTAGATACTCACACGCCAATTTATTTTAATTCCTATCTAATCTTCTAGTTGTTAATTTATTTCTATCGAACAAGTCTTTGGATCTTGTCTAAGACGATGAGAATTGTACTGAGGATCCCGCTCTGGATAAGTTACTTGAGGGGATCATAATACTGTATACTTGATTTTTTTCCTTTTGTCTCTAGATAATATAGTTTATCATTTACCCAATGTGCAGTTGTCACATGGCCATGTCGCCAAGGAAGTGCTGGAGCAAAAGAAAAATTTACCAACAAAGCGGTTAGGATAATTCAGGATGAGGCTATTGATTGTGATGAATCCTGAGGACATGCAGGCTTGAGGTAACTGCGCCAACGTCGGCGATTCATCGGTGTTAAGCCGAAGTATGCGTACTCTAGAATGTGTATAGACAGTCTTGAGTCTCCTCGACCTCGAAGAAGAAGGAGGGGTCAAGGATCTAGAGGCCGTTGGAGAATTGCCTACTGTTGAAATTGAATACACATTCCAAGCCCTTGCCACAGCAGTGAAACTTACCTTACATGTGGAAAAAATGCAGCTGTATTCCCCGGAAGTAAGATGTCGAACTTGCGGATAGTACTATACCCTCTGCTTATACATACCTACCTCTGGATGCAGATTGCTCAGGATGTTGGCAGAAAGTAGTTGAGGTACTGCACTTTCCTGGCCATTTCCTAAAGCTCCGATTGAGGAAACAGACTTTTGTAGCCTCTGGAGTGCGTAGTTATAAGGTTTCCCGGGGTCTAGACAAATTTGAATGTATAAGTACCGTAATTATGAACTTAGAGTTTGACGAAGACTCACTTGCTATGAAGGCAACTTATTCGAAAGGAAGAACCTGATATTGGTTATTATGTGTTGCTATTCAGGTGCATAGATTAAATAGTTTCGTGGGCTCGTAGACGTTAACAATGATGCCACAGGACAACTATTTCTTATGTTGAGCATCAATATCCAATTGCAGCACAAACGTCTTACCCAAATGATAAGCACAAGGCATAGACAGTTCGACAAACCTATGGGAGAACGAGCATTCCAGGAAGTGAAGGAAATGAAGAACCGTTTCAGTTGGGAGGCTATCCATAAGTCTAAGTCGACCCGAGAAGCCATCCGGAAGGTGGAGGTAGAAGTTGAAGCTACGAAACTGGGTCTACATTGCGATCACCACTTGCCTAACGGTCGCCACCTACGCCGCGCTCAAGCTATGCATGAAAATATGGTTCAGCGGACAGCGCACATCTATACTTCTGTCGGTGCCTGGGTTTTCATTTTCACTATTTACAAGGTACTGAAACCCAAATTCCCTATCTACAGTTGACTATCCAAAGTAGCTTTGTTAATGACTTTTGATTACCTACATTCTATTAGGCTATTTCAGCAAAAGCTCACTCCTGCCATAGCCAGAACTCGTACAAACAGAAATTTTCAGACTACGAATCCTCTTCCTCGGTGAATAGGTAAGGCCTTTTAGATGCCGCACCTTCGGGAAATCAGTTGTCCCTATAGGTAGGTCACAACCTACCTGATCTGGAGGCTCTTGGTACCAGACCAACACGGGGACTTACCGTTCTCAAAGGGGGTTGTTGAATAGTGAGCTGGTGTACTTGAAGCCAAACTATTCATTTTAATTTCGTATAGCGATTGGTATTTGACTAGGTATTGGGGATATGTAGGATAGGTGGGTAGAGCAGGGGCTTACTGGTTAAGGATAGAGAGGGTAGCTGCCTCCCTCTCAAAGGATAGGAGGTCAGGCGTTATTAGTTCAAGCCAATATATTATATGTACGACTTTGACGCTCATTCTGTATGACATTTGCTAAGGGCATGCGCATCCTGACATTGACCGTGTTAAAATTTATGCTAATAGCTCTTGGTTGAGCAGGTATTGATATACTAAGGGGGAAATTGACAATTACTCAGAGATCTAGGAATAAGCACTTAAGGTTGAGTCAGAGCGGCACAGCGAAAGGTAACAACTTAGAGGAACAGTAGGTGTGATAAGACGTGAATACTATGACCTTACTTATATCATTACTGCATACCTAAGACACTGGAAAACAGCATTACTTAGAATGTGTTTGAAGTAGATTATAAGAGGCGAAGAGAAGTCCCCCCCCCCCCTTCCCTTTTATTTTTTTATTTTTATTTTTATTTTATTTTTTGGCTAAATTATTATGACAGGTATGAATTGGAGATTTAGATATCTCTTCGATCTCTTAGATACTCTCTTCTTGAATAACACTTATTCTAGTCTTGAATAAATGTCCACAAATTGACGAAAGATGTCTACTTTCTGCATGTTCTACTGAAGGACACAATCGAAATGTCTGTTAGTAAACCAACTGCAAAGACTGCGAGTGTAAATAATGCACAGAAAGCTATAGAGGCAGGGAAACGTAAAGGAAGATGGAGCATACCCACCAGCGCGATGATAGTCTAGGCCAAGATGTCGAAGAATTCAACGCAGAGGCCGAGGAAATCCAGATAGTCGATCTACCAAGTCCCCAAAGAAGAAGGGCCCCGTGAGACCTGCATTGTCTTCCGAAGAGGCCCAGAAAGCCAGCACAAGTTTCTCATTCCTCCAGTTACCAAGCTCGAAGAAGAAGGTTTCATGCTCAGAATACTGCGGGGATTATGTTTGTCTTAGACTCTTAGGTTGCTGCATATCCGCTCAAACACATATAAGACGGGAAGCCGGAATATGCAGTGCAGCCCATAACGTCCCGCCAAATGGTGCCAACTCTCTCATTAGTATATCTTGAGTTAAAGAATATCGTTGGTGAAGTCATTTACGGGCCTGCTTAACACATGCATACGTTTAGGCATGAATCCCCACAGTTTGTTTGAGCTCTATACCTAAAACCTTCTAAGTATAAGTCCGAGACAATAGGAACCTGCTTAGCTTGCTTAATGACTGCGTCTTCCCGTGCCAAGAAGAGGGGCAAATAACCTATACTGTACACCGTTATATTTGGTTGTGTTAGGTGTTTATAACACGCTCTATAGTGAAGGGCTGACAGCTATGGTCTTAACACCTCAATACTACTGCCATAGACATTGCCTGAAGGTTATAGGGTCTTGGAAATTAAGAGCCACGTACCTATTCCTCGTACTTTTGGCTAGATTGGTGGCTGTTTCCACACACCCTTCGTGGAGAGGCTTTCAACCACCAGATACTTAAGAAATGTATATACTACCTTATATTAAGCTAATATACACTCAACAACCACCCCTTCGGCCATTTTCTAAAGCATAAGTAGGCCTAGCAGGTGCTCACTATCCTAGGAACTAATCCATATTGCCCCCTTCACGACCAGAAACACTGAGATACTGGGAGGCGTAATAAGGTAAAATATTACAGCCATAGTTCTAATTCGACTCTATGGTGTTAAAAATCCATTTGAACCATGAAAATAACAGTTTATAAGTGGCAGAATGAGCGTTATAGCGATACTCCCGCTCATGAGTTTATAAGGGCCTACCTAACTAGATTTTTGAACTATTAATCCAACGCTGTTCTGCGCAACGTTGTCAAGCTTTACGACGAGCTCAACTAACAATGAAGAGCATTTTATGAAATGAAGTTGTCGCGACTCTAGGTATTTAGCATCGGCTTTTCGGGACCGACGATCACTTGAGTGTCGGAGTTGGGGAAAATTTTTGGCATTTTATTTC